CACAGATGTAAACCATCAAGCAGCGCAGTTTCACGGTTCCCCCATCTCTGTTTTAATCCCAAGCCATCTCCAACACCAGCGATCTTTTCTCAGATTTTGCCAGTGCCATCTGCCAACTTGACTTGAACAGTATCAATAAATAATCGGACACATATCGTCATGCAAAGACATCCTACATCTAATCATATACTTAGCATCAACCAGGTGGGTTGACACTATACGGTATACTCCTATGACTTGGATGATGTTTTCATGACCTGGTTTATGGATTTTATATGATTATATATATATATTATATATATGGTATGTTAAGTATGCTATGGTGCATGAATCCAGGGAGTTGACACTGCTCACGAGGCTCACTTCCAGGTACCAACTTTGGATACCTTTCCTCCCTTCGCCGCCGCGCACGCCATGCTGGGCTTCGCGATCGCCGCCTGCGGCGCCGCGCCGGTGCTCCGGGCACCGGCCAAGGTGGGTTCAGCGTCGCGCCTGGGCTGCAAGATGCTGCAAGGCGACCCCTAGGGACCTCAGAGGTGATATCTGAACGATTCTGAAAATATCTCAAAGATTGTAGAAAGTCTAGAGTTTTTGTTGGCTTATTGAACATCCCAAGTTTTAGTGGTTGAACCATGGAAAGTCGTCATTTTTGATAGATGTATCCTGGAGAATCCCCATGAAAGAAGAGGATTCATCCATTCCAAAAGGGGGGGATTTTCAGCCACCCATGTTAAAGTCCTAAAAAGGTGTGTTCAATTTCAATGTATTTTTTTCCACCTGAAGCCTGAAGACGCATTTTGACACCCTGAATGACCCGAACAAATACGATTTTCCTGTCCTTGACTTGGTTGTATCCTCTTTATTTGTGGCGATCTGGGAAGACCACGATGGTTACATGCTGTCATATATGTATATATACACAACTTAAACATGGTCCCAACATCTTCGCACCATTTGTTGGTTGCCTCCGTTGGCCATCTTAACCATCAGTATGTTCCTCCACTTGCAGCCAACATGAAACTAAAAAACACATTGAAAACAACATGTTTTTAAATAGCAACACAAATTATATAATGTGGACAAAGCGTTTATTATTGGGTTGACCAAGTGTTGGGTTTAACAATTGTTGGATTTGCCGCGTTACCCATGACTCAGTATGCGAGTGGCTTCCAACCCATATAATTACAGTAATTCTAACAAACTATGCATAGCCGGGGTATTCCATTAATCTAACGTGATTATTTTATGTGGTCACTATCCGCTTCCTCTTAGGTAATAAATTCCCACAAATAGCTGTATCATTATATATCATTATATATCATTATATCAATCCCCATCTTTGATGATAAACATCCCATATTTGCTGATTAAATCCCTCAGTAATGTTGCGCCCTGATTTGTGTATGGCCCCCCCCTCCCCTCAACAATAGCTATACCTTCTTTAAACTTGGGAGCAAAAAAAAAGTGTCCAGGAAAAACGCACTTAAGTAAGGGTTTCAATTGGCTACAATTGACATCTAATTAAAACTGTTTTTGCCGATGAACTTGTGGTATTTGTAGTACTTGTAGTACTTGTAGTCTGCCTCAGTAAGTACACGTTGTTGTTTTCTTCAAAAAGAAATGGTCTCTCAAGCTTTCTTGCCACAATAGTGAACCTTCCAAACAATGCATGAGTTCAGAATAATTTGGAGAATTTTTGGCACAATAGCGAACCTATCCACTAATCAGCATCTTTTAGCTGCTATACCATTCATCAAATATGATAAGTCGCATGCTCCCCTAGGTACAGGTACAGGACAAGGCCCTGTACAAATAAGTTGCCTTGTAAAGCGCAGATACATCCCGTCTAAAGCCAAGTTTTGACCTAGTTAAAGACCAACTCAAATGCCATGAATCAACACAATCAACCAGACATCCACATCTTTCATGGGTATTTGATCAATATGTCTTTCCCCATTCTCCATCTGTGCCACGGTGAAAACATGGTATATGGTATATGGTCATCCATCCCAAAATGGGAACCCTTGCAATGGATATATAAATGTAAATTCCTATGCATTTGTGCATTGATGACCGTCCCATAACATGGACAATTGAGCCAAATTTCCGCCATGTTTCATATGATTTGGACAAAATGTGGTAATCATAAACCTTCCCGAAGTCATCACCATTTGTACGAGCGCGAAAAACGACCATCTCTTGTCATGGTAGTTGTATATGGCAGCCAGGGTTTCCAACATAATCTAGTCTTGCTGATTTTCCGTGCCATTCATTCCCGAGGTTTCTAAATGGAGGCTTTTCTAGCTGGGAACAACATTGGACATTTAGAGGTGGATTTTCTAGCAAGATATGAAGGGACTTGGTGGCTCATCCCATAGTCAGTGGGTCCCAGTGGGTTGGTTCACACCATTTATAAATGGGATAAGTAGGGGGGCCATCCTCTTATGGCCGTGGGACCGTGGGATGAGCCACCAAGTATCCCATGGCCGGACCCAACGGTATCGATTTCTCCAAGTGGCAACGCAGTCTCCGCCTCCTCCAACGCTTTGCTCGTGGTCACCAGCGCGCCACCGGCCGCTAGGATGCCGTGCTGCGACAGAAAGTCCTCCTGGGCTGGAAAAACAAGCGTGGGGAAAACAGGAAGGTGCAACCAGAATGGGGGTCAAATGGCGGTTTAACCAATCAAAATGGTGAGTTTACTAGGGGAAATTGTAGTTCTAACCCATCAACATGTCTTTTTTTCTAGGAAAAATGGTAGTCTAAACAATCAAAATGATGATCTTAATTTTACCAGTAGACATGGCAGTTTAACCAAAATGGTGGCTTTGGACGAAAGGAAAATTATGGATTTCACGAAGGAACATGGTGGTTTTACTAGCAAGACGGGGATGTGCTTGGAAACAATAAATTGAGTGCGGCTTCAAATTGAAATATACGCTCTGGGAATCCAGCCTGGCTGAGCAATTGTCATGTTTCATGGGAAACGGCAGTAATAAACCAAGCTGACAACTTCCAACACCTCGGGTGTGCTTAAGCTGCTGATATCCTTGTCTACCTCATATATAGTGCTTCTTTTTAAACACATATTTACATGGTTTTCGACCACAAGCTTCAGATGTTTACATTGCTGGAAATATGTTCGACAACACGTTTGCTTGCTCTACCCAATCTCCAAGCAAGAGCCAATTTGTTGACACTTGGAAGATTGATGATGGTTGAGTTGAGCGCCCAAGAATGACCAATCCATCTATGGTCTCCTGTGTCGACCCAGGCCCAAAATCCACCGGGATCGCTATGTTCCCTTTTAAAACTGCAACTGCAACTTTGAGGTACTGTATCCTCCATGTTCAAACACATCCATAGCTTGTGGGATAATACAATCCCCAATATCAATCACCATTACCATGATTGATGATAAAACACAGATTGATGGTTAAATACAAATTGTTGGTCGACACATATGTTTTGAAGACCACACGCACTTTGAGAATTGGCTTTGTAAATCAAATTGGGTTCGTCTCAAAAGAAGGGTACCGCCATATCCACATACATCCACTGACTGAGTATATCAGTTTTATCACGTTGTATCTCATGAAATGTAGCCCACACATATTCCCATTATATTCTACGTCCATGGCATTTCCACTATCTACCCAAGATATTCCCACAAAAAACACTGGTATCTAGTGTATCTAGCCATCAAAAGATCCATGGTCTTCATCACTGCCAAAGCTCGTAGAGTTGCAAAGTCTCCACAGTACAGGGCACCTCATCTTCCAGTCCGTGCAGGAAATTCCAGGCCTCCTCCTGCGAAGAGATGATGTTTTACTTTTCAGCAAAACTATGGAACTATGGTAATATCATGAGGGGAATATACCCCAATAGTCGGATGGTTTATACTTGCAGGTGTATGCTCAACTTATAACGAAGGAAAATGGGAATGATCCGTCCCCTAAGATTATATAATATAGATTCCGCCGAAAAAAAAACAAAGCCAAAGAAAAACAAGTGGTAGTTGAAGGAACCAAATATATGTCCAATGGATCTCCCTCATAAGAATGTACACATGTTGATACAACCAATGAACATGAAACACACACACATATATATATATATAGATATACACAGGATAATTTGCAAAACCTCACCATGTAATGCCCCAATTTCTCACGGCATGCTTCATAATATTTTATAATCACCCCATATCACCCCCAAATGGCAAGTATAGTTTGGTTTGCCACATTGCGATGTACGGTTTAGGTTTTACTCCGTAGTTTAATGGATCATTGGTATGTAGGAAAACGACTTCCAGTACATGAATGGAACAAATCGAACCTGGGTTTCCGCACAAGAGTAAAACATCTTCCCTCCAACCTCCACGTTCCCCCACACCGAAATAACACACACACACACAATTATAGGACCGAATAACCCCACATGTTAACAACTTCTCCAGACGTAGACTGAGCACAGAAAAGCAACAAGGGAAGAGGAAGTATGAGAGTGATGGAGGGGTGATGGTGGGTGAGTTTGTGTGTGTGTATGTGCACGTACAGGCGTGTCACTTTGGTAGTGTGTTAACGATATGTGTACCGGGTGTAAGAGGCAGTTTGTAGTATATGTGATGTACATGCGGATGTTATACGTATGTGTATGTGTGTGTGTGTGAGGTGAAATTATTTTCGTGTGATGTGAGGTTGGGTGGTAGTAATGTAAAAGTATGCAAACGTAAATATACTGATCTTGTTGCATGTGACGTGAAGTTATGACGCGTCAAGTGATGTTTTGCTCTGTGCAGTGTCAAGAGTGCAGTAAAGTGTGGGGCGTGAAGAGTGCAGTGTGAAGAGTGAAGCGTGCAGTGTGAAGAGTGAAGTGTGAAGAGTGAAGTGTGAAGTGTGGAGTGTGAAGTGCGGAGTGCGAAGAAAGCAGTGAGAAGTGCAAAGTGTGAAGTCTGGAGTGTGAAGTGTGAAGTGTGGAGTGCGAAGAGTGCAGTGTGAAGT